GAAATCACTCAAAATATGGTGCCAACCCTGAGCTACAAGGAGCAACAGAGTCCATGACCCGATAGTGATGGGAAATCACCCCAAATATGGAGCCAACCCTGAGCTGTGAGGAGCCACAGAGTCCATAACCTGATAGTGGTGGGAAATTACTCCAAATATTTTGCCAACCCTGAGCTACAAGGATCCACAGACTTCATGATGGGCCAGTAGAGGGAAATCACTCCAAATATGGAGCCAAGCCTGAGCTACAAGGACCCACAGTGTCCATGATGGTCTGGTGGAGGTAAATCACCCCAAATATGGAGCCATCCCTAAGCTACAAGGAGCCACAGTGTCCATGATGGTCCAGTGGTGGGAAATTACCCCAAATATGGTGACAACCCTGAGCTACAAGGAGCCACAGTGTCCATGATGGGATAGTGGTTGGAAATCACTCCAAATATGGAGCCAAGCCTTAGCGACAATGAGCCACAGTGTCCATGATGGGCCAGTGGAGAGAAATCACACCAAATATGGTGCCAACCCTGAGCTATGAGGAGCCACAGTGTCCATGATGGGCCAGTGGAGGGAAATCACCCCAAATATGGAGCCAACCCTGAGCTATGAGGAGCTACAGTGTCCATGATAGGCCAACGGAGGGAAATTACTCCAAATATGGTGCCAACCCTAAGCGATGAGGAGCCACAGTGTCTGTGATGGGCCAGTGGAGGGAAATCACCCCAAATATGGTGGCAACCCTGAGCTACAAGGAGCCACAGTGTTCATGATGGGCCAGTGGCGGGAAATTACCCCGAATATGGCGCTAAGCCTGAGTGACAAGGAGCCACAGTGTCCATGATGGGCCAGTGGTGGGAAATCACTCCAAATATGGTGACTAGCTTTAGTGACAAGGAGCCACAGTGTCCATGATGGGCCAGTGGTGGGAAATTACCCCAAATATGGTCTAAAGCCTGCGCTACAAGGAGCCACAGTGTTTATGATGGGATAGTGGAGGGAAATCATCCCAAATATGGCGCCAAGCCTGACCGACAAGGAGCCACAGTGTTCATGATGGGATAGTGGCAGGAAATTGCCCCATACATAGCACCAACCCTAAACATCGAGGAGGCACAGTACTCAGTATAGGTCAGATGGTGGGTAATCATCCCAAATATGGTTTCAGCCGTAAAAAACAAGTAGCCACAGTGTCCATGATGCGCCAGTGGCGGGAAATCACCCCAAATATGGTGCCAATCCTGAGGGATGAGGAGTCACAGTGTCTAGATTGGTGGCAGGAAATTGCCCTGAATATGACACCAACTCTGAGCCAACGAGATGCCAAAGTATCCATAATAAGCCAGATAGTGGGAAATCACCCCAAATATGGTGCCAACCCTGAGTGATATGGTGTCAACCATGAGCAACAAGCAGTCACAGTGTCAATGATGGGCCAGATGGTGGGAAATCACCCCTAATATGGCATGGATCCTGAGCAACCAGGAGTTGCAGTGTGTGTGATGGGCTGGATGGTGGGCAAACCACCCCAAATATTGCATGGACCCTGAGCTGCATGGTAAATAATGGGCTGAATGGACAGATATGATGCTAACCCTCAGCAATGAGGTGCTGGTATGTCCATGGAGGGCCAGATGGAGACAAATCATTGCAAATATGGTGTCAACACTGAGCATTGACTCCTTGATGGGCTGAACGGCAGGCAAACACTCCAAATATGGTGCCAACCCTGAACAACAAGTAGTCACAGTGCCCATGATGGGCTGGACGGTGGGAAAACACCCCAAATATGGCGTCAACGCTGAGCAACGAGGGGTCACTGTGTGTATGATGGGCTGGCAGTTGGAAAACACCCCAAATATGGCATCAACCCTGAGCAACGAGGGGTCACAGTGTCCGTGATGGACTGGACGGTGGGAAAAACACCCCAAAAATGGCGTCAACCCTGAGCAACGAGGGGTCACAGTGTGTATAATGGGCCGGCAGTGGGAAAACACCCCAAATATGGCATCAATCCTGAGCAACGAGGGGTCACAGTGTGTATAATGGGCCGGCAGTGGGAAAACACCCTAAATATGGCGTCAACCCTGAGCAACGAGGGGTCACAGTGTCCGTGATGGGCTGGATGGTGGGGAAACACCCCAAATATGGCGTCAACGCTGAGCAATGAGGGGTCACAGTGTGTATGACGGGCTGAACGGCAGGCAAACACTCCAAATATGGTGCCAACCCAGAGCAGCCAAAGTGTATGGTGGAATGGATGGTGGGAAATTGCCCCAAATATGGTGCCCGCCCTTTCACATGGCACCATTATTGATGCTTTCCCATTGGGCCAGTATTTCGCAGTTCACGTTACGCCATTTTCACCACAACCGGCATGAACCAGACGGCACCATTTGCTGGACTTGCAGTGATTGACTCTCCATAGATTCCCGGCTCCGTGTACTTCTCTGGCGTGGAGGGTTGCGTTGTGTTGATGGCGCAGTCGGCGGGTCAGGTGACCCTCAGTACACATCAGGGTGTCTCGCTGACTACATGTCTGACATTGTACACTGAATTCCCATCAAGATAAAGACTCGCTCATTATCATTCCTGTCTGCAGACACTCGGCACGTCAAAGACATTTCTGACAGCTGACAAATGGAAGGAGTCCAAGCTCCAGAGGGACGCCAACTCCACACAGCGACGGAGAGGGACGTATTCTACAGACACGTACAGTAACGACCTGGATCTGCCGATGTATTCAGACCTGGGGGGGAGGGGCTCTATTGTATTACACATTGCTGTCTGTCTGAGCATACTGAGAGGAGGAGAGAGCAGAGTGATGACTTAATAATTGTCCTGCTGTCCAGTCACAGGCTGGGGGGCGGAGAGGTGACCAAGCTGTAGTTCTTATTTGCAGTAGAAACAAGTGAGGTCACTGACAGATCACATGATTGGAGACACAATGGGCCCCTCGGCTCCGCCCTTGTTTTGGAGATCAAGTTGATGTCTTTCAGCGTCGGTCTCTTTAAGGTTGCTTTGGCTGTTTTTATTTTTTTTTGCTGAAGAGTTCCCCCATAACATTCCCTAATATTGGTTCAACCCAGGGGCGGACTGACAACTCATGGGGCCCCCGGGCAATAGGGGATCATGGGGCCCCTGTGTCCTTGCCCAAAAACTCAAAAAAGCCTATGAAAAAGGTACCAGGGGCATCTCATGGGGCCCCCTACTGACCCCGGGCTCTCGAGCAGTGCCTGAGTTTCCAAATGGTCAGTCCTCCCCTAGTTCAACCGGAATTTAGATCCAGAAATTCCGAACTTCCGGTGAGGCCAATCCACATATTCCTGGGATGAGGGGAAGACGTGTGGCGGAACATGGGTGACGTGTGGAGGAACATGGGTGACATGTGGAGGAACATGGCTGACATGTGGAGGAACATAGGTGACGTGTGGAGGAACATGGGTGACACTGGGTGCTGGCCAGGATCAGTAGGGAACAAGTTCTTATATTCGGCTCGGAATCTTGGGTCAGGTCAAGGTCAATGCAGGAACAAGGAGAAGAACATTCCCCCGTAGTAATGTGAGATCTCACCCATAATAGATAAAAAAAATAAAAAAATTAAAATAAAAAAAAAAAAAAAAAAAAATAAAAAATAAAAGAATAAAAAAAGAAAAAATAGAAAGTAAGAAAAAAAAAAAAAAAAAAGTAAAAAAAGATAAAAAAATAAAAAATAAGAAAAAAAATAAATAAAAATTTAAATAATAAAAAAAGAATAAAAAAATAAAATAATAATAATAAAAATTTAATAAAAAAAAAAAAAAAAAAAGAAAAAAATAAAAAAAAATTGAAGAAAAAAAAAAAAAAAAAAAAAAAAAAAAAAATTGAAAAATGAATAAAAAAGAAAAAAAAAATTAAAATGAAAAAAAAGAATAAATAGATTGTAAAAATAGAAAGAAATAATAGAAAAAAAAAAAAAAAAAATAAAAAAATAAGATAAAAAAAACAAAAAAATAAAATAAAAAAAGAAAAAAATAAAAAGTAAAATAGAAAAATAATAAAAAAAAAAAAAAAAAAAAAAAATAAAAATAAAAAAATAATAATAAGTAATAAAATAAAAAAAAAAATAAAAATAAGATAAAAATAATAAAATAAAATAAATAGATAGATAGATAGAAGATAAAAAAAAAAAATAAAAAGATAGAAAATAGAAGATAAATAATAGAAGATAAATAAATAAAAAAATATAGCAAAAGAAAAATAAAAAAAAATATAAAAATAAAGAAAAAAAATAGAAAAAAAAAAAAATAAAAAAAAAAATAGAAAATAGAAGAAAAAGATAAAAAAAATAATAATAAAAAAAAAATAAAAAAAGATAAAAAAAAAATAGATAGAAAGAAAAGATAATAAAAATAAATAATAGATAAAAAAGATAGATAAAAGATAATAGATGAAAAAATTAAAAAAATAATAAGATAAGATAAAAATAGATAAATAAAAGATAATAGAAGATAATAAGATAGAATAATAGATAATAGAAAAAAAAAATAAAGTAAAATAGATAAATAGATAAAAAAATAGATAATAGATAGATAGATAGATAATAAAGATAGATAGATAGATAGATAGATAAAAATAAAAAAGAAAAAAATAATAGATAGAAAAATAGATAGATAGATAAAAAAAAAAAGATAAATAATAATAAAATAAAAAATTAAATAGATAAAATAGAAAAAAAAAGATAAAATTAAGATAGATAAATAAAAAAAAGATAAAAAGAATAGATAGATAGAATAATAGATAATAGATAGATAGATAGATAATAATTGTAGATAGATTAATAGATAGATAGATAATAGATAGATAGATAATAATAGATATTATAGATAATAATATAGATAGAAAACACTATAGATTGCCCCAAGTAAAAACCCCCCCCCTCCCAAAAGATCATGAGATTCAGGTGCTCCAATCCCCTCCCAATCATGTGATTCAGGTGTTTCTAATCCCCTCCATATCATGAGATTCAGGTGTTCCAATCCCCTCCATATCATGAGATTCAGGTGTTCCAATCCCCTCCATATCATGTGATTCAGGTGGTCCAATCCCTCCATATCATGTGATTCAGGTGTTCCAATCCCCTCCATATCATGTGATTCAGGTGTCCCAATCCCCTCCTATCATGAGATTCAGGTGCTCCAATCCCCTCCCAATCATGTGATTCAGGTGTTCCAATCCCCTCCATATCATGTGATTCAGGTGTTCCAATCCCCTCCCAATCATGTGATTCAGGTGTTCCAATCCCCTCCATATCATGTGATTCAGGTGTTCCAATCCCCTCCCAATCATGTGATTCAGGTGTTCCAATCCCCTCCATATCATGTGATTCAGGTGTTCCAATCCCCTCCCAATCATGTGATTCAGGTGTTCCAATCCCCTCCATATCATGTCTTTTCAGGTACTCCAATCCCCTCCATATCATGTGATTCAGGTGTTCCAATCCCCTCCCCAATCATGTGATTCAGGTGTTCCAATCCCCTCCATATCATGTGATTCAGGTTACTCCAATCCCCTCCATATCATGTGATTCAGGTGTTCCAATCCCCTCCATATCATGTGTTTCAGGTGCTCCAATCCCCTCCATATCATGTGATTCAGGTGTTCCAATCCCCTCCATGGACACAGGTGTATACAATCAAGCCCCTAGGCATGCAGACAGCTTCTACAAACATTGGTGAAAGAATGGGTCGCTCTCAGGAGCTCAGTGACTCCAAGCGTGGTCCCGTGATAGGTGGCCACCTGGGCAATAAGTCCATCCGTGACATTTCCTGGCTACTAAATATTCCACGCTCAACTGTTAGTGGGATTATAACAAAGTGGAAGCCACTGGGAACAACAGCCACTCAGCCACCAAGTGGTAGGCCACGTCACATGACAGGGCGGGGTCAGCGCATGCTGAAGCGCACAGTGCGCAGAAGTCGCCAACTGTCTGCAGAGTCAATAGCTAAAGACCTCCAAACTTGGTGTGGCCTTCAGATGAGCCCAACAACAGTGCGTAGAGAGCTTCATGGAATGGGTTTCCATGGGCCGAGCAGCTGCATCCAAGCCTTCCATCACCAAGTGCAATGCAATGCGTCAGATGCCGTGGTGTAAAGCATGCCGCCACTGGACTCTAGAGCAGAGGAGGTGTGTTCTCTGGAGGGACCAATCACGCTTCTCTGTCTGGCAATCCGATGAACGTGTCTGGGTTTGGCGGTGGCCAGGAGAACGGTACTTGTCTGACTGCATTGTGCCAAGTGTAAAGTTTGGTGGAAGGGGGATTATGGTGTGGGGGTGTTTTTCAGGGGTTGGGCTTGGCCCCCTAGTTCCAGTGAAGGGAACTCTTAAGGTGACATTTTGGACAATTTCATGCTCCCAACTTTGTGGGAAGAGTTTAGGGATGGCCCCTTCCTGTTCCAACATGACTGCGCACCAGTGCACAAAGCAAGGTCCATAAAGAAATGGAGGAGCCAGTTTGGGGTGGAGGAACCTGACTGTCCTGCACAGAGTCCTGACCTCAACCCCATAGAACACCTTTGGGATGAATTAGAGCGGAGACTGCGAGCCAGGCCTCCTCCCCCGACATCAGTGCCTGACCTGACAAATGTGCTTCTGGAAGAATGGTCCAACCTTCCCATAGACACCCTCCTAAACCTTGTGGGGGGCCTTCCCAGAAGAGTTGACCAAACATTTAAAGTGACAGTACACACATTTTTTTTGCCTGTAAAGAAACACTTTGAAAACAACAGACAGTTTTTCTGGAATTATTTTTCCCAGCAATCTTTCCAGCAAATATCAGGAGATTGGAGGTGCGTTCCTCACTGGCCAGAATTGGTGCCTTTGACGTGTAACACGCCTTGCCCTGGATGGGAATGGTGGAGGTGAGCACATGTCTTGTACACGGCCCGGTCTGCTCTCCTGCCGGCCAGGATGGAGTTAATTAAAGCCAAACCATCTGCAGAGGAGAAGAAGGCAGTTTATGGCTTCAGCGAGTAAGTGGAGCACAATTTGTGTCAGGAAGGCTCAGGAAAATAAGATATCATGGCCTGCTGTCTGCTCCATGTCAGCTTCTCAGATTCTGCCTCTAATGCTTCATCAAATGGAGACCCGTCTACTGCTTGCCAAGCCCATCGGTTCAGCCAGAGTTCAGGCACCGCAGAGCAGCCCCTCCACCTCCACCCGTCCTCTGCTTTCTATTGCACGCACTCTGTAAAACACCCGATTCTGTTTCATGTGAAGAGGACGATCTCCTGGAGAGTCCCGGGGTATTGTCTGTCAGATGGCGGAGAGCGCGGCCTGTGGTTCATCAACCAAACATGGCCATGGGATGTTCCAACATATCGGCTATGTTACATGGACATCTGCCCACAATGTTGACTCTTCCTACTGATCACCATAATCCCTCTTTTCCAAGATGGCGGAGAGCGTAGCCCAGGGTTCATCAACCAAACATGGCCAAGGGGAAGGTCCAACATATCGGCTATGTTACATGGACATCTGCCCACAATGTTGACTCTTCCTACTGATCACCATAATCCCTCTTTTCCAAGATGGCGGAGAGCGTAGCCCAAGGTTTCATCAACCAAACATGGCCAAGGGGAAGGTCCAACATATTGGCTATGTTACATGGACATCTGCCCACAATGTTGACTCTTCCTACTGATCACCATAATCCCTCTTATCCAAGATGGTGGAGAGCGTAGCCCAGGGTTCATCAGCCAAACATGGCCAAGGGGAAGGTCCAACATATTGGCTATGTTACATGGACATCTGCCCACAATATTGACTCTTCCTAATGATCACCATAATCCCTCCTATCCAAGATGGCGGAGAGCGTAGCCTGGTGTTCATCAACCAAACATGGCCATGGGGAAGGTCCAACATATCGGCTATGTTACATGGACATCTGCCTACAATGTTGACTCTTCCTACTGATCACCATAATCCCTCTTATCCAAGATGGCGGAGAGCGTAGCCCAGGGTTCATCAACCAAACATGGCCAAGGGGAAGGTCCAACATATTGGCTATGTTACATGGACATCTGCCCACAATATTGACTCTTCCTAATGATCACCATAATCCCTCTTATCCAAGATGGCGGAGAGCGTAGCCTGGTGTTCATCAACCAAACATGGCCATGGGGAAGGTCCAACATATCGGCTATGTTACATGGACATCTGCCCACAATGTTGACTCTTCCTACTGATCACCATAATCCCTCTTATCCAAGATGGTGGAGAGCGTAGCCCAGGGTTCATCAACCAAACATGGCCAAGGGGAAGGTCCAACATATTGGCTATGTTACATGGACATCTGCCCACAATGTTGACTCTTCCTACTAATCACCATAATCCCTCTTATCCAAGATGGCAGAGAGCGCAGCCTGGTGTTCACCAACCAAACATGGCCATGGGGATGTTCCAACATATCGGCTATGTTACATGAACATCTGCCCACAACGCTGACTCTTCCTACTGATCACCATAATCCCTCTTATCCAAGATGGCGGAGAGCATAGCCTGGTGTTCATCAACCAAACATGGCCATGGGGATGTTCCAACATATCGGCTATGTTACATGAACATATGCCCACAATATTGACTCTTCCTAATGATCACCATAATCCCTCCTATCCAAGATGGCAGAGAGCGCAGCCTTGGGTTCATCAACCAAACATGGCCATGGGGAAGGTCCAACATATCGGCTATGTTACATTGACATCTGCCCACAACGCTGACTCTTCCTACTGATCACCATAATTCCTATATTATCCAAGATGGTGCAGAGTGCAGCCTGGTGTTCACCAACCAAACATGGCCATGGGGAAGGTCCAACATATTGGCCATGTTACATGGACATCTGCCCACAATGCTGACTCTAACCACTGGTGACCATATATCTTATCCAAGATGGCCAAGAGCGCTGCCTGAGGTTCATCAACCAAACATAGCGATGGGAAGGTCCAACATATCGCCCATGTTACATGGACATCTGCCCACAGTGCTCACTTTTCCCACTGGTGACCATAATCTCTATCTGATCCAACATGGCTGAGTGCGCAGCCTGGGTTAATCAACCAAACATGGCCATGGGAACGTCCAACATATTGGCTATGTTACATGGACCTCTGCCTACAACACTGACTCTTCCCACTGGTGGCCATAATCCCTATCTTATCCAAGATGGCCAGGAGTGCTGCCTGGAGTTTATCATCCAAACACAGCAATGATAAGGTCCAGCGTATCCGCCATGTCACAGACCTCTGCCCACAGCACCAACTTTTCCTACTAGTGTCCTACATCTCTATTTTATCCTTGATGGCCCAGCGCACGACCTGGGATTCGTCAACCAAACACGGTGTGGGAAAGTCCGGGGTATTGGCCATATTACATTGACCTCCTTCCTCAACACTGACTCTTCCCACCAGTGTCAAACATTTCCATTTTATCCCAAATGGCAGAGAGCATGGCCTGGCATTCACCAACCAAACATGGTGATTGTAAGGACCAGCATGTCAGCCATGTTAGATGGAACTCTGCCCACAACACTGATTCTTCCCACCTGCAACCATAATCTCTATCTTATCCAAGGTGGTGGACAGCATGGCCTGGCATTCATCAACAAAACGTGGTGTGGGAAGGTCTAGGGTATCATCCATGTTACATAAACTCCTGCCCTCTACCCCTACATGGACCAACCCTTCCCACCTGTGTCCAACATCTCTATATTATCCCAGGTGACAGAATGTGCAGTCTGGCGTTCATCAACCAAACATGGTAATGGAGAAGTCCACCATATCAGCCATGTTACATGGATCTCTGCCCATAACACTGACTCTTCCCACTGGTGCCCAACATCCATGTTTCATCCCAGATGATGGAGAGTACAGCCTGATGTTCTTCCACCCAACGATGGGAAGGTCCAATATATTGGCCATGGTACACGGACTTCTGATCACAGAGCCCATTCGTCCCACCGATGTCCAACATCTCTATTTCATCCCACAGATCCAAATACCCGAACATGGATTTCCAAATTCTGTTGTCAAATGTATCATCTGCCAGTTGGACAGGAAATGTTCTCAACATGTTTCCCGGAAATCTGCTTCTCTGGAGACATGGAGAGAAGGTGGAAGCACTATGTGTAGGATGAAGAGTTCTGGAATCATTCTCAGGGGAGGCCACAGTGGACACCAGAGGAAGATCCAGACCACAAAATATAGATCTGTGCCAGATCCATCCCCCCAATGTAGATCCATCACCCACCAAGAAGACACCAATGTCAAGGTCAGAGAAAGCCACCCCACTGCAGTCTGGTGCTACTCAACCAATCATGGTGATGGGAAGGTCCAGCGTGTCGGCCATGTTACATCAACCTCTGTCCACAACACCAATCCTTCCCACCAGTGTCCACTGTAGAAGGAGGAGGAAGCATTTCCTCAGTCTCCTCCCCCAGTGATCAGACTGTACATTGTAACTTTGTAGAAGGAGGAGGAGGCATTTCCTCAGTCTCCCCTCCCCCAGTGATCAGACCGTACATTGTAACTTTGTAGAAGGAGGAGGAGGCATTTCCTCAGTCTCCTCCCCCCAGTGAGCAGACTGTACATTGTAACTTTGTAGAAGGAAGAGGAGTAATTTCCTCAGTCTCCTCCCCCAGTGATCAGACTGTACATTGTAACTTTGTAGAAGGAGGAGGAGTAATTTTCTCAGTCTCCCCTCCCCCAGTGATCAGACTGTACATTGTAACTTTGTAGCAGGTCACAAGGAGAAGATGCAGCAGGGGCTGATCTGTGTCAGACATTTGTGAACACTTTGGATCTGCGATTTGATGGGAGAATTGTTGTGTTGTCTGGAAGTTCCTCAGATGACATGTATATGATTAGGACGCACACGGTGACAACGCCCGGCGTGCTGACAGACACCACAATGTGGTCACACAATCATGTTGTAGATTTCTATGGAAGTCAGGTGTCATTCCAGAACACCCGTCCGAGACACCCGCCCCCCTTCTGCCGCCATCCCCCCATCCCCCGGGCCAATCCTCTCCTCTCCCAGCAGATCTCAGGGGCCTGCAGACCAGATCCACCATCTGGAGTGTTCAGAGATCCCCCTGAGATAATACCTGGACATACAGTGAGGAATGACCTGCACATTGCGGCATCAAAGCGCATTTCCCCCTCTGCAGAGTCTCTGCCCCCATTCATCTGCTGGGTGGAGCAGTCATTGCACCAGACTCCCCATCCTCCAGGATCCAGGCCTGGCGTTGGATGCACACCCCGCTGCTCCCAGCCCTCGCCCGGCATTGTCTTGATTAAAATTCCTGGAGCTTTGGTTGGAGGAATGTATCTGTATCAGATGACAGTTATCAGAAGACTCGGCTCCTAATGAAGACATCTGTCATGTTGTCAGTGAAGGCCGGAGCTCACTCTGCAGTGGAGAACATTCCCAATAATTTATCTTTACTTAAGTCCCCCCCCCCCCCCCCCCCCCCCCCCCCCCCCCCCCCCCCCCCCCCCCCCCCCCCCCCCCCCCCCCCCCCCCCCCCCCCCCCCCCCCCCCCCCCCCCCCCCCCCCCCCCCCCCCCCCCCCCCCCCCCCCCCCCCCCCCCCCCCCCCCCCCCCCCCCCCCCCCCCCCCCCCCCCCCCCCCCCCCCCCCCCCCCCCCCCCCCCCCCCCCCCCCCCCCCCCCCCCCCCCCCCCCCCCCCCCCCCCCCCCCCCCCCCCCCCCCCCCCCCCCCCCCCCCCCCCCCCCCCCCCCCCCCCCCCCCCCCCCCCCCCCCCCCCCCCCCCCCCCCCCCCCCCCCCCCCCCCCCCCCCCCCCCCCCCCCCCCCCCCCCCCCCCCCCCCCCCCCCCCCCCCCCCCCCCCCCCCCCCCCCCCCCCCCCCCCCCCCCCCCCCCCCCCCCCCCCCCCCCCCCCCCCCCCCCCCCCCCCCCCCCCCCCCCCCCCCCCCCCCCCCCCCCCCCCCCCCCCCCCCCCCCCCCCCCCCCCCCCCCCCCCCCCCCCCCCCCCCCCCCCCCCCCCCCCCCCCCCCCCCCCCCCCCCCCCCCCCCCCCCCCCCCCCCCCCCCCCCCCCCCCCCCCCCCCCCCCCCCCCCCCCCCCCCCCCCCCCCCCCCCCCCCCCCCCCCCCCCCCCCCCCCCCCCCCCCCCCCCCCCCCCCCCCCCCCCCCCCCCCCCCCCCCCCCCCCCCCCCCCCCCCCCCCCCCCCCCCCCCCCCCCCCCCCCCCCCCCCCCCCCCCCCCCCCCCCCCCCCCCCCCCCCCCCCCCCCCCCCCCCCCCCCCCCCCCCCCCCCCCCCCCCCCCCCCCCCCCCCCCCCCCCCCCCCCCCCCCCCCCCCCCCCCCCCCCCCCCCCCCCCCCCCCCCCCCCCCCCCCCCCCCCCCCCCCCCCCCCCCCCCCCCCCCCCCCCCCCCCCCCCCCCCCCCCCCCCCCCCCCCCCCCCCCCAACCCCCCCCCCCCCCCCCCCCCCCCCCCCCCCCCCCCCCCCCCCCCCCCCCCCCCCCCCCCCCCCCCCCCCCCCCCCCCCCCCCCCCCCCCCCCCCCCCCCCCCCCCCCCCCCCCCCCCCCCCCCCCCCCCCCCCCCCCCCCCCCCCCCCCCCCCCCCCCCCCCCCCCCCCCCCCCCCCCCCCCCCCCCCCCCCCCCCCCCCCCCCCACCCCCCCCCCCCCCCCCCCCCCCCCCCATCTTATCACACTCCTCCCTCCATCGTCTCATCATCCACCTCACACCTAACCAACCTCCACACAGACACCCTCTGACCTTCACCCCCCCTCTTCATCACTCCACTACCCTCCGAACATCATCTTCTTACACTCCTCACTCCATCATCTCACCATATATCAGATCATCATCACACTCCTCACTCCACCATCTCATCAGATCATCTCACCATACATCACATCTTAACTCTCCCTACTCGATTTGGGAGATTTTCGATACCCAGATGGGTCGGTCAGCTCAGCCTGTTTTGGCCATTATTACAATTTTGCTGAATGAAGTGCAATTCTTGAACCCTCATTGCCGGCACCATCTCTGGACTACTGCTGTCATGTCCTTGGTCTAGTCCCTCTAGGTGGGGCATGCATGGCCCTGACTCTGCTCCCCTGAGGGGCTGCTGATATAATGGCCTTCTAGTGGAGCCGTCTTTCTACATAGACAGATTATGGAGGATTCCTGGTGGCTTTCATGCTGATAGCTCCATAAATACCCGGAGGACATGGCGATCATATTGAGAACGTGTTCAGAGGGCTCTGACAGTGCGGCGGCACTAATAACAGTGCATGTACAGTGGGGGGAAAAGCGGCTCATTTCCTGGCCGGTCCATGTGACAATCGTTTTCTCCTTTGTACGCAGAGAGAGCACATTTTTGTTGCCGCCAGGGCCCGTCCGGGATGGCCGCAGACAGGGAGCTGCCAGCACAGAGGAAGAGAGAACAGATCTGGCAATGATTCTGTGGTCCTAGCGGGACACGGACTGCCAGTTGTGTTCTATATTATATATATATTAAAGTGGAGGGGAGCGGCGCGGCCCGGAGAGAACCTTCATAGGTCAGGCAGCAGCTCCTGAGCCGCGATCTGTAAATGATTAGATTGGGAAGCTCTGCTGATCATTCCTCCCATTCACACGAGTGTTGTGGATTTATTTTGTGTTTCCTCCTCGTTCTGCGTCTTCTGGGTCCACAACGAGTCAAGTTCAGCCCGGGGGAACCGACAGACGCTTTCCCGACTGTACGTCTACGTGTCTGCGAGGCGGCCGGGAAGGGGTTAAGTCTGGGAGAAGCCACTTGGGCACGGGCTTAGAAGACGATAATGAATTTCATATTGTGCCCAATCTGCTGCCAGAAATCCCCGGCGTAGTCTATGATTTCATGTAACTCCTCCACATTTCATGCTATATTAACAGATTTACATTTCTTACAAATGTTTCCTGTAGTGAGAGATAAAGAACAACTTATTTGCCTCGAAAATTTCAGGGAAAACAAAACCTTGAGTGGCCAACCAGCGCTTCCTCCATGCTAGCATCGGTCTCAGCACTTTCTCCATGCTAGCCCCGGTGTCAGTGCTTCCTCCATGCTAGCGCCGGTCACAGCGCTTCCTCCATGCTAGCGCCGGTGTCAGCGCTTCCTCCATGCTAGCGCCGGTCTCAGCGCTTCCTCCATGCTAGCGCCGGTCACAGCGCTTCCTCCATGCTAGCGCCGGTGTCAGCGCTTCCTCCATGCTAACGCCGGTCTCAGCGCTTCCTCCATGCTAGCGCCGGTCTCAGCGCTTCCTCCATGCTAGCGCCGGTGTCAGCGCTTCCTCCATGCTAGCGCCGGTGTCAGCGCTTCCTAAATGCTAGCGCCGGTGTCAGCGCTTCCTCCATGCTAGCGCCGGTGTCAGCGCTTCCTCCATGCTAGCGCCGGTCTCAGCGCTTCCTCCATGCTAGCGCCGGTCACAGCGCTTCCTCCATGCTAGCGCCGGTGTCAGCGCTTCCTCCATGCTAGCATCGGTCTCAGCGCTTCCTCCATGCTAGCGCCGGTCTCAGCGCTTCCTCCATGCTAGCGCCGGTGTCAGCGCTTCCTCCATGCTAGCGCCGGTGTCAGCGCTTCCTAAATGCTAGCGCCGGTGTCAGCGCTTCCTCCATGCTAGCGCCGGTCTCAGCGCTTCCTCCATGTTAGCGCCGGTGTCAGCGCTTCCTCCATGCTAGCGCCGGTGTCAGCGCTTCCTCCATGCTAGCGCCGGTGTCAGCGCTTCCTCCATGCTAGCGCCGGTCTCAGCGCTTCCTCCATGCTAGCGCCGGTCACAGCGCTTCCCTCCATGCTAGCGCCGGTGTCAGCGCTTCCTCCATGCTAGCATCGGTCTCAGCGCTTCCTCCATGCTAGCGCCGGTCTCAGCGCTTCCTCCATGCTAGCGCCGGTGTCAGCGCTTCCTCCATGCTAGCGCCGGTGTGTCAGCGCTTCCTAAATGCTAGCGCCGGTGTCAGCGCTTCCTCCATGCTAGCGCCGGTCTCAGCGCTTCCTCCATGTTAGCGCCGGTGTCAGCGCTTCCTCCATGCTAGCGCCGGTGTCAGCGCTTCCTCCATGCTAGCGCCGGTGTCAGCGCTTCCTCCATGCTAGCGCCGGTGTCAGCGCTTCCTCCTTGCTAGCGCCGGTGTCAGCGCTTCCTCCATGCTGGCGCCGGTGTCAGCGCTTCCTCCATGCTGGCGCCGGTGTCAGCGCTTCCTCCATGCTAGCGCCGGTGTCAGCGCTCCCTCCATGCTGGCGCCGGTGTCAGCGCTTCCTCCATGCTAGCGCCGGTGTCAGCACTCCCTCCATGCTAGCGCCGGTGTCAGCGCTTCCTCCATGCTAGCGCCGGTCTCAGCGCTTCCTCCATGCTAGCGCGGGTGTCAGCGCTTCCTCCATGCTAGCGCCGGTCACAGCGCTTCCTCCATTCTAGCGCCTGGCTCAGTGCTTCCTCAATGCTAGCGCCAGTGTCAGCACTTCCTCCATGCTAGCGAGGGTCTCAGCGCTTCCTCCATTCTAGCGCCTGGCTCAGCGCTTCCTCCATGCTAGCGCCAGTGTCAGCACTTCCTCCATGCTAGCGCCGGTGTCAGCGTTTCCTCCATGCTAGCGCCAATGCCAGCGCTTCCTCCATGCTAGCGCCAGTGTCAGCACTTCCTCCATGCTAGCGCCGGTGTCAGCGTTTCCTCCATGCTAGCGCCGGTGTCAGCGTTTCCTCCATGCTAGCGCCGGTGTTAGTGCTTCCTCCATGCTAGCGCCGGTGTCAGCGTTTCCTCCATGCTAGCGCCGATGCCAGCGCTTCCTCCATGCTAGCGCCAGTGTCAGCACTTCCTCCATGCTAGCTCCGGCATCAGCGTTTCCTCCATGCTAGCGCCGGAGTCATATGATGTCCTCCCATTCTAACCGCGCATTCGCGGCTCCCTCGGACACAGCGGATCATCGATCCATGGAAAGAGCCAAAGATGTCGGCTTGGTCATGTAATCAGCTGTGTCCAATCACAGCGATCACATGTAAACAGGGAAGTGCCGATTATTGGCATTTCTCTCCTCACGAGCTGTCACGCTGACAGGAGAGGAGAGCCAGTAATCAGCATTACTCGGTGGGGACATGTACATTGATCTTCAGGGCACCGATGATCAGTGTGCCCTAATGATCTGTGTAGCCCCAGCAGTGCCACCTGTCAGTGCTCATCAGTGCCAACTCTCAGTGCTCATCCATGCCACCTGCCAGTGCCCATCAGTGCCAAATCAATGCCACATATCAGTGCCCATCTGAGCTGCCTTTCAGTGTCACCCATCAGTGCCAGTCCGTGCCACCTATCAGTGCCATATATGAGTGCTGCCTTTCAGTGCCCATCAGTGATGCCTGTCAATGTCCATCAGTGCCACCTATCAGTGCCTCCTCATCAGTGCCCATCAGTGCAGCCTCATTAGCGCACATCAGTGGAGGAGAAAAATCACTTATTTACAACATTTTATAACAAAAACATTTTTTTTCCCCAAAAATTTTCAGTGCTATTTGGTTTGTTTAAGAAAAATAACACCAAAATAAAGCTCTATCTGTCACAAAAAAAATGATAAAAATTTCATATGGGTACAGTGTTGCATGACCGCGCAATTGTCATTCAAAGTGTAACAGCACTGAAAGCTGGAAATTGGCCTGGGCAGGAAGAGGGTAGAAGTGTCTGGTAGGCAGGAAGGGGGTAGAAGTGTCCTGTAGGCAGGAAGGGGGTAGAAGTGTCCTGTAGGCAGGAAGGGGGTAGAAGTGTCCGGTAGGCAGGAAGGGGGTAGAAGTGCCCGGTAGGCAGGAAGGGGGTAGAAGTGTCCGGTAGGCAGGAAGGGGGTAGAAGTGTCTGGTAGGCAGAAAGGGGGTAGAAGTGTCCTGTAGGCAGGAAGGGGGTAGAAGTGTCCGGTAGGCAGGAAGAGGGTAGAAGTGTCCTGTAGGCAGGAAGGGGGTAGAAGTGTCCGGTAGGCAGGAAGAGGGTAGAAGTGTCCGGTAGGCAGGAAGGGGGTAGAAGTGTCCCCGGTAGGCAGGAAGGGGTTAGAAGTGTCTGGTAGGCAGAAAGGGGGTAGAAGTGCCCGGTAGGCAGGAAGGGGGTAGAAGTGCCCGGTAGGCAGGAAGGGGGTAGAAGTGCCCTGTAGGCAGGAAGGGGGTAGAAGTGCCCTGTAGGCAGGAAGGGGGTAGAAGTGCCCTGTAGGCAGGAAGGGGGTAGAACTGCCCTGTGGGCAGGAAGGGGGTAAAAGTGCCGGGTAGGCAGGAAGGGGGTAGAAGTGCCCAGTAGGCAGGAAGGGGGTAGAAGTGCCCGGTAGGCAGGAAGGGGGTGATAGTGTCCTGTAGGCAGGAAGGGGGTAGAAGTGTCCCGTAGGCAGGAAGGGGGTAGAAGTGTCCCGTAGGCAGGAAGGGGGTAGAAGTGTCCCGTAGGCAGGAAGGGGGTAGAAGTGCCCTGTAGGCAGGAAGGGGGTAGAACTGCCCTGTGGGCAGGAAGGGGGTAAAAAGTGCCCGGTAGGCAGGAAGGGGGTAGAAGTGCCCTGTAATCAGGAAGGGGGTAGAAGTGCCCAGTAGGCAGGAAGGGGGTAGAAGTGCCCGGTAGGCAGGAAGGGGGTGATAGTGTCCCGTAGGCAGGAAAGGGGGTAGAAGTGTCCCGTAGGCAGGAAGGGGGTAGAAGTGTCCTGTAGGCAGGAAGGGGTAGAAGTGCCCTGTGGGCAGGAAGGGGGTAGAAGTGCCCGGTGGGCATGAAGGGGGTAGAAGTGCCCTGTGGGCAGGAAGGGGGTAGAAGTGCCCCAGTGGGCAGCAGGAAGGGGGTAGAAGTGTTCCTTGGGGCCCCTAGGAATCAGAGATGGTTGGATAAGTTCAGAGATGGTTGGTAGAGATCAGAGATGGTTGGATGAGGTCAGAGATGGTTGGATGAGGTCAGAGATGGTTGGATGAGTTCAGACATGGTTGGATGAGGTCAGAGATGGTTGTATGAGATCAGAGATGGTTGGATGAGTTCAGAGTTGGTTGGATGAGGTCAGAGATGGTTGGATGAGGTCAGAGATGGTTGGATGAGATCAGAGATGGTTGGTAGAGATCAGAGATGGTTGGATGAGGTCAGAGATGGTTGGATGAGGTCAGAGATGGTTGTATGAGATCAGAGATGGTTGGATGAGATCAGAGATGGTTGGTAGAGATCAGAGATGGTTGGATGAGGTCAGAGATGGTTGGATGAGATCAGAGATGGTTGGATGAGATCAGAGATGGTTGGATGAGTTCAGACATGGTTGGATGAGGTCAGAGATGGTTGTATGAGATCAGAGATGGTTGGATGAGTTCAGAGTTGGTTGGATGAGGTCAGAGATGGTTGGATGAGGTCAGAGATGGTTGGTATGAGGTCAGAGATGGTTGGATGAGTTCAGAGTTGGTTGGATGAGATCAGAGATGGTTGGTAGAGATCAGAGATGGTTGGATGAGATCAGAGATGGTTGGATGAGTTCAGACATGGTTGGATGAGATCAGAGATGGTTGGTAGAGATCAGAGATGGTTGAATGAGATCAGAGATGGTTGGATGAGGTCAGAGATGGTTGGATGAGATCAGAGATGGTTGGATGAGATCAGAGATGGTTGGTAGAGATCAGAGATGGTTGGATGAGATCAGAGATGGTTGGTAGAGATCAGAGATGGTTGGATGAGATCAGAGATGGTTGGATGAGTTCAGACATGGTTGGATGAGGTCAGAGATGGTTGTATGAGATCAGAGATGGTTGGATGAGTTCAGAGTTGGTTGGATGAGGTCAGAGATGGTTGGATGAGGTCAGAGATGGTTGGATGAGATCAGAGATGGTTGGTAGAGATCAGAGATGGTTGGATGAGGTCAGAGATGGTTGGATGAGGTCAGAGATGGTTGTATGAGATCAGAGATGGTTGGATGAGATCAGAGATGGTTGGTAGAGATCAGAGATGGTTGGATGAGGTCAGAGATGGTTGGATGAGATCAGAGATGGTTGGATGAGATCAGAGATGGTTGGATGAGTTCAGACATGGTTGGATGAGGTCAGAGATGGTTGTATGAGATCAGAGATGGTTGGATGAGTTCAGAGTTGGTTGGATGAGGTCAGAGATGGTTGGATGAGGTCAGAGATGGTTGTATGAGGTCAGAGATGGTTGGATAAGTTCAGAGATGGTTGGTAGAGATCAGAGATGGTTGGATGAGATCAGAGATGGTTGGATGAGTTCAGACATGGTTGGATGAGATCAGAGATGGTTGGTAGAGATCAGAGATGGTTGGATGAGATCAGAGATGGTTGGATGAGGTCAGAGATGGTTGGATGAGATCAGAGATGGTTGAATGAGTTCAGAGATGGTTGGATGAGTTCAGAGATGGTTGTATGAGATCAGAGATGGTTGGATGAGATCAGAGATGGTTGTATGAGATCAGATATGGTTGGATGAGTTCAGACATGGTTGGATGAGATCAGAGATGGTTGGTAGAGATCAGAGATGGTTGGATGAGATCAGAGATGGTTGGATGAGGTCAGAGATGGTTGGATGAGGTCAGAGATGGTTGGATGAGATCAGAGATGGTTGGATGAGGTCAGAGATGGTTGGATGAGGTCAGAGATGGTTGGATGAGTTCATAGATGGTTGTATGAGATCAGAGATGGTTGTATGAGTTCAGAGATGGTTGGATGAGATCAGAGATGGTTGGATGAGATCAGAGATGGTTGTATGAGTTCAGAGATGGTTGTATGAGATCAGAGATGGTTGTATGAGATCAGAGATGGTTGGATGAGTTTAGAGTTGGTTGTATGAGATCAGAGTTGGTTGTATGAGATCAGAGATAGTTGGATGAGATCAGAGATGGTTGTATGAGATCAGAGTTGGTTGTATGAGATCAGAGATGGTTGGATGAGTTTAGAGTTGGTTGTATGAGATCAGAGTTGGTTGTATGAGATCAGAGATAGTTTGATGAGATCAGAGATGGTTGGATGAGATCAGAGATGGTTGGATGAGTTCAGAGATGGTTGTATGAGATCAGAGATGGTTGTATGAGATCAGAGATGGTTGGATGAGATCAGAGATGGTTGGTAGAGATCAGAGATGGTTGGATGAGGTCAGAGATGGTTGGATGAGATCAGAGATGGTTGGATGAGTTCAGAGATGGTTGGATGAGTTCAGACATGGTTGGATGAGGTCAGAGATGGTTGTATGAGATCAGAGATGGTTGGATGAGTTCAGAGTTGGTTGGATGAGGTCAGAGATGGTTGGATGAGGTCAGAGATGGTTGGATGAGTTCAGAGTTGGTTGGATGAGATCAGAGATGGTTGGTAGAGATCAGAGATGGTTGGATGAGATCAGAGATGGTTGGATGAGATCAGAGATGGTTGGTAGAGATCAGAGATGGTTGGATGAGATCAGAGATGGTTGGATGAGGTCAGAGATGGTTGTATGAGATCAGAGATGGTTGTATGAGTTCAGAGATGGTTGTATGAGATCAGAGATGGTTGGATGAGATCAGAGATGGTTGGATGAGATCAGAAATGGCTTGATGAGATCAGAGATGGTTGTATGAGTTCAGAGATGGTTGGTTGAGATGAGAGATGGTTGGATGAGATCAGAGATGGTTGTATGAGTTCAGAGATGGTTGTATGAGATCAGAGATGGTTGGATGAGTTCAGAGTTGGTTGGATGAGATCAGAGTTGGTTGTATGAGATCAGAGATAGTTGGATGAGATCAGAGATGGGTGGATGAGATCAGAGTTGGTTGTATGAGGTCAGAGATGGTTGGATGAGATCAGAGTTGGTTGTATGAGATCAGAGATAGTTGGATGAGATCAGAGATGGTTGGATGAGATCAGAGATGGTTGGATGAGTTCAGAGATGGTTGGATGAGATCAGAGATAGTTGGATGAGATCAGAGATGGTTGGATGAGATCAGAGATGGTTGGATGAGATCAGAGATGGTTGGTAGAGATCAGAGATGGTTGTATGAGATCAGAGATGGTTGGATGAGATCAGAGATGGTTGGTAGAGATCAGAGATGGTTGGATGAGGTCAGAGATGGTTGGATGAGGTCAGAGATGGTTGTATGAGTTCATAGATGGTTGTATGAGATCAGAGTTGGTTGTATGAGATCAGAGATAGTTGGATGAGATCAGAGATGGTTGGATGAGATCAGAGATGGTTGGATGAGTTCAGAGATGGTTGGATGAGATCAGAGATGGTTGGATGAGATCAGAGATGGTTGTATGAGATCAGAGATGGTTGGATGAGATCAGAGATGGTTGGATGAGTTCAAAGATGGTTGGATGAGATCAGAGATGGTTGGATGAGATCAGAGATGGTTGTATGAGATCAGAGATGGTTGGATGAGATCAGAGATGGTTGTATGAGATCAGAGATGGTTGTATGAGATCAGAGATGGTTGGATGAGA